GGTACGGGCGAAAAGTTATTACTCTTCAAACCAGTTAAAAAAAAATAGGTAGGTAGGCCCTCAATAAGTAGGAGTCAAATTGACATCAAAATCAAATTTCTCATGTCAAAAAACTCCCAGACACCAATGTTCAACGAAATATTGACGTTTAAATTATTTGGAAAAAATCGAAATAAAAATGAAACTTCTACACCCTGTATCTCCAAAACTAAGCATTTTAGGACATACATTTATACGAACTTTTTGACATATTTTTATCTGCAGAATATGCTGCCGAAGTTTCCGGAATACAGTTCGGACCACCCTGTATAAGTTCAGAAAATTTTAAGGGTGGCATACAGGGTGTCCCAATATTCCATGGATATAGAGTTACAACGTATTTTTGGAATCAAAATAAGTTCATTGGAGACAATTTACCTCTATACCAAAGTACTTCGTTTATCCGTTAGAGGGCATCAAACTTTAAAAAAATAAACACATTTTTTCAGATATTTTAAGAACCGTTATTCCCATTTGAATAAGAATTTGGGTGTCTATGTTTTGCTAAGTGCTTTAACATTTGACTTTCACAAAAATCAAGAAAATTTACAGGAAGGATGAAAACTACCCCTACCCCTACATAAATTTTAGTGTAAATATTTTCCATCTCCCACCGACGACAGATTTTCTTTTTGGAATCTTTTTTTGGAAAATTTATTTTTCCACAGCAGACCTACAAAATATACAGGTAGTTCCAATAGTCCGTGGGCATATAAGAACTACGTATTTTTTTAATCAAAATAAATTAATTGCACACAATTTACATTTATACAAAAGTGCTTCGTTTGTCCGTTAGAGAGCATCAATCAAAAATAAACCCAAACCTTAATTAATCTAAAATTTATTATATTTTTAAGCTATTATTTATGAAGCTAATTGTCAAATATAATTTGTTATACTAACATAAAATTCCATATTTTTGCCTACTACATTATTAAACCATAATAAATTGTATGCCCGTCCATAGCTTGATTTTTTTTCTAGAAACTAAAAATGCAGTAAATATTAGAAGAACCATTTTACGAAAAAAAAATTGGCGACGGGAGGCACGTATAGCCGCCCATACTAAAATATGTTAATAAAAAGTTGGTAGGCAGTTCTTTTAGTTTCAATTATCTCAAAAGCTGCGACTTTGACTGATTTTGATGTTATTACAAATTTTGTTGCAAATATTATTCCTAATCTTAAGTTGAAAACCGCGATTCGCCAGCTACTGTAATTTTGGAGTTACGATTTTTTAAAATTTTTAACCCCTTCCCATACCCCCTTACCAACCCCCCACCCCCACCGAAAACTAATGGCCAGATTCTCGGGTGCCACAGTATTTTTGTGCCAAATTTTGTTAAAATCGGTTTAGCGGTTTTTGAGTTATCGTGTTACAGACAGACACCGTGAAAATATTTTGTATTTAGGTTATTTATGGCCCAAATAACTCACTTTGAGTGCAAAAAAAACTTTTTTTGCCGATCTTAATAGCCTACCAGACCTGTTGGTATGGTCGACTAAAAAATCGGTCGTCGGTTGACTGGAAAATATTTATACTAATATTTATATAGGGGTAGGGATAGTTTTCACCCTTTCCCTGATTTCTCTTGATTTTGTAAAAGGCAAATGTTAAAGCACAAAACATACACACCCAAAATCCCATTCAAATCGGAATAACGGTTTTTAAAATGTGTGAAAAAATGTGTTTATTTTTTTAAAATTTGATGCCCTCTAACGGACAAACGAAGCACTTTTGTATAGAGGTAAATTGTTTCCATTGAACTTACTTTGATCGCAAAAATACGTCGTAATTCTACGTCCACGGAATATTGGGACACCCCGTATTTCGATCCCAGGAACACGAATTTTTTTTCGCGAAAAAAATGTTGAAAATTCTGAATTTTTTAAGAAAAAAATTGTATTTTATTTATTTTTTTTTAATTGAAAAATAGAATATCTTCATAGTGTGTCAACATAAGCAGCAGATTAAATTTAGAGGAATGAAAACCCAGAAAAACTCCAGTAGTTCAAAAAATTCAAGCACAAAATCATTTTTCTTTTAATTTTCAAAGTAAAATAGCTCAGCTATTTTGGGCTCATTTGAAAAACGGTAAAGGGAAGATATGTTTCCTTTATCGAGATCTACCAGCTCTGAAAATATTTGTATTTATTTAAGACTTACCCTATAAAACTTCTCTCCGATTTACATTCCAAATAGTTATTATCCTCTACATTATAACCTATTATCACAGCTATTATAAGCTTTCAATTCTGTTCTTTTGTTATTGCAGCGCCATTATTGGTAACTAGCAGCCCCTGTTTCAATGAACCTATAGTAAACTATTAAAAATTGCTATAATATAATTAATGTTATAAAACATAAGTTATGATTTAAATTCAAAATTGATCGTAGTGACCATGACGATGTTACGCCTTTTCATTGTACTATAGAGTTTTGTTATAAAGGATATCCTACCTCTTAATGCATATACCGGGTGTTTTTCAAAAGTTGCTTTACCCCCTATATTTTTTTTATTTTTTCAGATAAAAATAACGAGATTTGGTATGTTAGTATATGACATAAATCAGGATTGATTGACGTAATCCATTAGTGTCGGTCACTTCCTGTTCCACCGAAAATTACAACTTTTGATTTGTAAGTGGTTTGGTACCAACAGGTATGTTTTTTTTTAATTTCACTCAAAATGAGTTATTTGGGTCATATGGTGTCTGTTTGTCCGTCTATCCGTCTGTAACACGATAACTCAAAAACCGCTAAACCAATTTTAACCAAATTTGGCACAAAAATACTGTGGCACCCTCGGTGGCACCCGAGAATCTGGCCTTTAGTTTTTGGTGGGGGTGGGGGGTTGGTAAGGGGGTATGTGAGGGGTTTAAAATTTTAAAAAATTCAAGTTTCAATTTAAGATTAGGAATAATATTTGCAACAAAATTTGTAATAACATCTGTAAAAATCAGTCAAAGTCGCAGTTTTTGAGATATTCCGTATTTCCGTAGTCCGTTTTTGAGAAAATCCGTGTGGGTTGGTAAGGGGGTATGTGAGGGGTTTAAAATTTTAAAAAATTCAAGTTTCAATTTAAGATTAGGAATAATATTTGCAACAAAATTTGTAATAACATCTGTAAAAATCAGTCAAAGTCGCAGTTTTTGAGATATTCCGTATTTCCGTAGTCCGTTTTTGAGAAAATCCGTGTGGAGAACTCCAAACTCCCATCGGACGCGACCCCAGGTGGCGGATAGGGGAAATAACCGCGAACCAAAATTGGAAAAATTCGTTTACTTTGAAACTAAAAGAACTGCCTACCAACTATTTATTAACATATTTTAGTATGGGCGGCTATACGTGTCTCCCGGCGCCAATTTTATTACTTAACTCTTAACTTGATAGAAAATTACATTCTGAATAGAATGACATATCATATATGTCAACTTTTGACATTTTCGCTTAAAAACAACATTTTAAATTTCAATCTATAGTGTCATGGTTGTATTAAAACCACCAATTTTTAATATAGAAGCATTGGAAAAATAGATTTGATACAACCTAGTGTATTTCGTAAGTTTTCCTGGCCGGTTAAAATATGTTCAAATCCCATATTTAATCATAACTCAATTTTTGGATGGTGGCTCATTGGCTTATTTGGATAGAGCCTTTCCTTATGAATGATTTGGTACCACATGCTTAGTAATTTGAATCAAAATGTCGCTATAAATACAGCCATGGCACTCTAGATTGAAATTTAAAATTTACACATACATTTTTAAGCAAAAATGTCAGAAAATTTGACGTATAAGATGTCAGTCAATGAAATTCTAGTGTCATTTTCTATCGAATAAAGTAAAAAAATACCGAGGGTACCATATAAAATTCAAATTGTTTCCCCGATGTTTTCCCGAGTTTTGCAAAACATTTTAAAGAGAGCAATACTGATTAATATACAATACTGAAAAATAAAAAAATTTATACGACAAATATTGTTCATTTCTTTAATGCTTTATTTGTATTATATTTGTATTTTTATATTTATAGAATTCTATAAGAAACACAAAAATGGCAAAAGAAATAGGGGTTGCATTTAAAATTTTAGGGGTAGGTGCCCTGGGGGTCAAGGGATTGAAAGTAACACGACAACAAATGCCTCAAAAATTGTCCCCCTTGATTTGTAAATTAACGTGTTTCGCCAAATTTTCATACTATCATCGGTAGAGGCAATATTAAATACTGTTCGTTTTCAAATTGTCACCCTGTATATGATATGCCATTCTGTTCAGAGCGGTGTTTTCTATCGAATAAAGTAAAAAAAATACAGAGCATGCCATTTAAAAATCAAAAGTTGTAGTAATGAGGAAGATGCATATATTTTATTTTTCGCCAGAAACTGTTCAATTTATTAGAATAAATATGTGTAAATGCAAAAAAAACCTTTTTTCTTGAAAGCAGTACCACAATTTTATAAAACGGGCCATAAATACTATGGATAACGCAAACGACGCCTCGCGAATTGAAACGATATTCTATTGGTCTGACGTCACCCGCCGTTCTCGTCGACGCGCGATGGCCAGCAGCAGCCAGACGTGTTCCGTTTATGTACGTATTTACGTGGCGTACTAAGACATTTTTGTTGCTTTTAGCGTTGATTGAAGGAGCTTTTTATGCTTTTTTGTGCAGTTATTATTTGTATGTGTTGTGTGTTCTGAGAATTTTTTAAGTAATGGCAGATTCCGGGTTTGTAAAAGCACAATCAGATAACTTGCCAAAAGTCGATGCTTTTATGTTGGCTGCTTTTATAAATACAAATTCCCAATTTATTGGTGCTGAATTACGAGGAAAAAAACAGAGAGGTATGTAACATTTATTCTTTGTAGTACTGAGGCATATTTAAGTATAAGTAGGTACCTACTGTTACGAACTTTTATATAGTTATAAATATTAATGTTATAAACTTATTTTTCAGATCAGGTAGGGAGACGTATGGAGATAATGCTGTAGGTTATGTAGAAGTGAAAAGAGACAAAAATATTTGTTTAGTACGTGGAAAAATAACTCCAGAGCATAGCGTGAAAAAGAATTTTTTTATATATTGACACCCCCTTTCCCTTGTTATTTTTAAAGATTGTTTTTTTTACGAAATTATAGGAAATAAATTGTTTATCAGTAATGAAAATATTATATAAGGTGTCCCATAAGCAAACGCCAAAATTAAGTTACTTTTTTAAGTGAGACACCCTATATATTTTTGGATTCTTCGGAAATTTCTAGATATTCTAGATATATTTCATGTATAATGTCCTATACCTATCTTCAAATGTTTACGAAATATTGACAGTTGTAAAGCGAAAAATACCTACAATTTTCTGGACCACCTTTTTTGAGACACCCTGTATAACTAGAATTAATTTTAAAAGAGAGTATATGAAAAACCATGCAACTCTTTTATTTAATGTTTTCTTCTAAAACTTGCAGTTAAGGCTGTATGTGGGTGTCAAAATATAATGAATAACCCAGTACATACATTCAAATTTCATATACCTATGTAAGACAATATACATAAATATATGAACTTACATCAAAATGATCTTCACAACAATAAATCGTAAAAATAGAGGATAATTTAACGTTTGTCTTTTGGCCTTGGACCATTTTTTTCTGTTTTCGCTCATCCATTACTATTTATAAATATCACTACTAATTATGTATTAATTAACACAAATAACTAAAATTTTGACTCGGATTCAACAGCGTTTAAAAGCAAACTGTGTAAAATAAACACGCGTCTGGCTCCACTCAACCAGAAGAACGGCGGGTGACGTCACAGCGGCAAGGCGCGGTATAGAGCGTTTGCCCGGCCATTTAAATTAACAATATTTATTTATTTTATATTAGAGGCATTTCTTAACCGATATCAACGATTTTTTTTGTTCAATTTGTAATTATATTAACTATTTTTTAAAACCATTATTTAAAAACATGCATTTCCCTCATTTCCGGTGAAAAAGGAAATTACTACTTGTCGATGCGCTGTGTTGTCCTGCAGTTCAGCGGAATGTCGGTTTTTGGGAAAACCAAAATTTTGGGCAAAACGCTTAATTTTTTTTTAAAGAACTAACGAATCGTATCGAGGGATGCCGCGACGCATCGAATCGACGAACCCCTTTATACTCACTATGCGTACATGGATGCAACCATAGACTTAAAATAAAATATAGACTGAGCATCTCATTCATAAATAGCTGGAACATGCGGTCAGACACTGTCTTGTTATTGTTGTGTTATTGTTTTAGGTTATAACGAGTGCGACACGAGCGATAGATAGGTTGTCTCTGTCGTAACGGTCGTTCCCTGACGACTCTGCCGAGAAACACAACACAAACTTTCGTTTCTCAAGTACACCTGAACTCTCCGTATCATAGCCGGGTAATTTTTTTATTTTAATGAAGCTATAATTAAATTAAAATATATCGTATTTAAACTTTTTTATATTTTATTAAGATTTAGGACAGGTTTTTTAAATAAAAGTTTAGAAAAAACGTCTTAGAGTCCAAAAAGGATAAAAATAGTAAAATACACATTCTAGAAGAAATTGTATAATCGAAATTACGTAATTTTTGAAATTAATAATAAATTATTAATTTTAGTCAAACATTTACAACCCCTAATATTAATCAAAACAGGATCTATTCCACAGATATAATAGAATCGCCGACAGGGAGAGAAAATAAAATATGATTGTTGTATTTTTTTTTCTGGTTAAGTGATGTCTTATTATGTAAATTAGAGAAAACATAAATCTGTTCCATTAAAGCAACGAAGGTGATAGGAAGTGGACAAAATGAAAACTACATTTATTTAACTCGGTACTGTTTTATTATACCGTGTGCGTCCCAAAAGTGGCTCATCCCCATAATTTTTTTATATTTTCAAATAAAAAAACAAGATTTAGCATTTTAGTATATGACATAAATTAGGATTGATTGAGGCATTCAATTGTTTTTGGTCACTTCCTGTTTCATCGGAAATGACTATAACTTTTAATTATAACATTTTTAAACGGCACCCTCGGTATATTTCTACTTTATTCGATAGAAAATGACACTCTGAATAGAATGACATATTATATGTCAACTTTTGACATTTTCGCATATGGTTTAATTGTAATTATAACACGCGGTTCATAACGACAATTTGACTCGAAATACCAAGTGTGTGGTATCAATATATTCATAAAAAAATGCTTTTTCCAAATATGCTAATGAGTCACCCTTGTTCCATTTGAAAAAATTGACATATGTATGATTAAAAATACGATTTGTATTGTATACATCTTTTAACCGGCTTAGACAAGACACGAAACCCATTAGACGATCAAAACTATTTTTCCAAGGCTCTTTGATTAAAACTTAGTGTTTTTAACAACACCATGGCACCCTGGATTGAAATTTAAAATACGATTTGTTTTTAAGCGACAATGTCAAAAGTTGACATATAATATGTCATTCTATTCAGTCAGTTCAAGTCATTTTTTATCGAATAAAGTAGCAATATACAGAGGGTGCCTTTAAAAATCAAAAGATGTAATCATTTCGGTGAAACAGGAAGAGACCAAAAAACAATTGAATACGTCAATAAATCTGGTTTATGTCATATACCTTACTAATACAAATCTTGTTTTTTTTATCTGAAAAAAATAAAAAAGTTATAGGGTTGAGCCACTTTGAGACGACCTGGTATATAAAAATAATGTTTCTAATGTAATATCATTTTAAAATTCTTGTATGTTATTTTAGATTCTGAAGATAATTTTAGAATAAACCGGAATATATTTTTAATAAAAACATTATTAATTATTAACAGGGTTATAATTATGATTTTGTTACAATGTAAGTAAGTAAATAATGTAATGTAAGAGAAAAAATTCAGATTTTACATTTTACTAAAATATTATCTAAATAAGCGCCTTTCTACAACAACGCCACTGACTCCCAATGGGTAAATTGAGAGTTGCCTACCGGTCAAAAGTCGTTTCAAGACTTAAATGGATTATTTAAGTCAAATTTCTTGCAAATTTGGCACTGGCGAACCATATTTTATAGTTCTTGAACAGAAAAAGTCAATAAAATAAACACTTAAGCACTACAAGCTAAGAAAATGCGTTAATACAGCCGGGGAGATAGCGGCAACAAAGCTTTACCGCACACGTGCGACACGTACTACAAGGTAATAAATGAATGAATAGGCTCCCTCGCCTCTAATCGGTGTTGTCATATTGTAAAGAACTTATCCTTTTTAAACAGTATCCGACTTATAATTTAGTAGTATAAGGACTATTTAATACATCTCTGGAATATTAAAACCTACTTTATTAAACTGTAGTATTAATATCTCAATATATGTGTATAACAAGAAAAAAAACATTGATAATATTAAAGACGTGACAACATAGGCTGGATGAGGAAGGCTCGGTCGACTGTACCCAGAAGTAAACATGTGTACAAAAAAGGTTGTTTGTCCGCGTTGAGATGTAAATAGTGTAGTCTATATTTTATTTTAAGTCTATGGATGCAACACATCGATGAATCAGCGCATGGTGAGTATGAGGCTTAATACATACATGCACCTGTGACTAATTCTGCTACTTAAGACCTTGATGCTAAAGTATCTTTCAACCTAGAAAAATAAATATAAAATTACGTCTGTGCTGAACAGAAAAATAATGAAAATAAATATAAGTGATTAATTGTAAAAATCTTACAATTACTTCTTCTTTGAATGTAGATTACATATGTATATGTTTATTGTTATATGAAGGACACTTTTAATTAATAAAATACAGGTATAATACATATTACCAGACTAGAATATTTATTTTTATTTGTTATGATCATTCTTGGAAAAAGACATGTACTTGATTAAAATTTAAACTAAAAATGTTCTAACAAGTTAAACCTATGATTAAATATCATTATTAAATACCAACAATTATATGATTATGCTCCAGGAGATACTATCCAAAGCGATCCACTTTTAACTTAAACTATAAATTATCATGTCAATCAATTCTACAGATTAAAAAATCTATTTATTCTATTACTGTCATACATACTCTTCGTACATACTACATATCTACACTCTACACTCAGATGCAAAAAAAGCAACGGAGAAATTTTCGGTCAAATTTAAAGTGTTATATTTTTGTTATTTTTAGCCCTATTTTCATGATTTTTTTAACAAGCTTTATATAATTATACCGACTTTAATTCCTAAACTCAGTTTTTTATAAACTTTAGTATTTGACATATTATACAGGATTAATCGAGGAATTGTTTTTTAACCTTAACTTTAAAACACCCTGTGCAATACTTTCGTGTCTAAATTTTCCTAAAATATAATTTTACAGTATACCGGGTGTTTCAAAACAAATGCGAAAAACTTCAGGGGGTGATTCCTTGTTCAAAATAAAGGGTAGTTTGCTTCATAAACGTTGGGTCAAAAGTCAACCATTAGGGAGATATCGCGGTACAAAGATGGCGGAAAAATAATGTTCTTATTTTTTATCTTGAAAACGAAAAGAGAGATAGACTAATGAAATTTTATGGAAGCATTACTGTTATGAAAAACACACTTTCTGGTAATTTTTCCACTTTTTAAAATGAGTGGAAGGGGTTGAAATAAACTACCCCTATCATTCTTGTTAACGAAATTTAAAGAAAAAAATCTTATCAAATACATGCGAAAAAATGGTGGATAACTGGACTTAGTTTAGAAACTTTTTATATCTCTTGTATTTTTTATAAAACTCACCGATTTGAAATTAAAAAAATAAAATGTAAAGCATTACATGTCAGGACTAAAAATATTTTTAGATTAAGAATCTAGTGATAATAAATGATGTAATAATAATAATCTAGATAATAACGTGTATTGCAGTAGGGTAATGTCAAATAAAACAATAATAGAAACAT